TGTGATGAAATTAAAACACACCACGCATCTGACTCCACCATACTGCGAGTGACAAGCCACTGGTCTGTATTTGGCTGGCACTGATTGGCTGAGCGGAAAGGCTCCTTCCTACGTCCATGCATCAAGGCGTGATGCACGGACAAACCATGACGAGTCTCTGCTTTCTTTGACGGAACCACGGTAACACCACTCCTCAGTGTGGACTCCTTTGAAGTAGATGCTGAGACGGGATTGGAACAAACACAGTCGTCTGATTCAAGAGCTCATCCCGGGAAGCACCGAAGGAACGCGGGAGACTCAAGAGAAGGAGAAACAAAGGTTTCCGTGCATCTGGTCTCCCAGCTAGAGGGCTGGGAGGTGACTTTCTGCGTCCACCTGAGGGGTAGGAAAGCTGGAGTGTTTATGCTCCAACTCCCATTCATCAATGCCTGGGGCCTCTCTTGGGGCCTTAAGCTCTCTTGTATTTCCAGCTGGCCCCTTATGTAGGCCGAGAACACCGCTCTAGGTAGAAAAACCTTTAGGGAAGAAAACAATGGCAGCCTTTGCAGCGGGGTGCCATCTGTGCACAGGGAAATGGCAAATCTGAGGACATATGGATGGATGGCAGCAGTGTCATCACACAAATAACTCAATTAGTGAAGCATCCAGGCGAGAGTATGCAAGGGAACCCACTCTCTAAACACAAGCACAAGTGCGTGGTCTGCGCACTTATCCCGTCAAATAAAAACTCAGCTGGAAGAAGGCGTGGACCACACTAGCAACTGCTCTCAACATTGGAGAACAGGATGGGAAGAGAACACTCTCCCCTCCCCCCATCGTTTACTTAAACTGTGGACCACCTTCGGCCTAATTCTAATGCTCAAAAGAAGTATTTTCCTCTGCAAAGATACCATTGGCCTTCACATCCAACAAAATACATCCTGCTCATCAAAAGAAGTGAACAAAGTCCGTGTCTATTATACTCCATTTCTTCTGAATTTACTGGAAAGGTAAAAAGAAGAAACGGAAGCTAGAAGAAGTACTTCAACTTGTGTAACTCTTTCCCTGTCCCATTATTTTTCTGATGCATTGCTCCGAGGTTAAGAAGGAACCATAAACTCTAGCAGACCATCGGAACTCTTTGGATTTATGCACTAGATCATTCCAGTTGAAGCCATATAAATCCTTTCTTCAGCAGATGAAATCATTAGCATGGCGTCATTCCCCTTGCCCGTGCCCTGAGTTTTGTTAGTGATCCTTGCATGCCGTGGAGGCATACCAACTTATGCCCTTTCCTTTGTGATGTGGTTGTCACGAGTCTCTTCCGTCCACTTTACATGAAGTAAGAGCACTGCACTTTACTGGTCCTTTCCATACAACCGCCCCATCTGCCTTAGGGTGTCCAGTGCTGTGAAGAGACGCCATGACCACGGTAACTTCTTATAAAGGAAGGAAAACATTTAACAAGGGTTGGCTTGCAGTTTCAGAGGTTTAGTCCATTATTATCCTGGAGAGAAGCAGGCGGTGTGCAGGCAGACATGGTGCTGGAGAAGGAGCTGAGAGTTCTACATCTTGCTCCACAGGCAGCAGAAGGAGACTGTGTCCCTCCCACGCTGGGCACAGCTTGAGCATCTGAGACCTCAAAGCCTATCCCCCTGCAGCGACACACTTCCTCCAGCAAGGCCACACCTCCTAATGGTGCCACTCTGTGTGCCAAGCATTCAAGCACGTGAGTCTATGGGGGCCACAGCTATTCAAACCACCACACACCGTTCCTTACACGTTTATTTTCATTTGCTTTTTTGTTAACTCAGACTCATTCGTAGCGAGAAATCTGTTGGCACAGAGGATTGTGACCACAGGTGACTGCTAAGACTCTTCATGCTTGCTTTTATTGTAAAGTGACATCCTAGCCATGAATGACGATGGCTCACCTCTCCCTGTCCTTCCTCCACAATTCTTTGATTGTCTTCTGCTCTTGTGTTGGGGTTCAGTCTGGAAGCTGGCCTTGGGCAATCTCAGACCACAAAGACTTTTTCTCATACACTGGCAGTGTTGCTATCGACCATTTTGCTTTTTTTTTCTAGCATAGCATCCATTCTAGAAGTACATATACATCCTTCTCTTTTCTTTCATTTTTCCTTCTTGTTGGATGAGTTTGCCACTTTGGCCTGGAAGTGGTCTCTTCTCCTTCACATATTTTCCTCCCAACAATTTTTTCTATTGCCCTGCAGCGAGGACAAAGGGTCAAAGCACCCAAACATCTTCACATCGGGCCTGGGATACTGTGAACATGCTGGTAAGTTTTCTAACAAATGGCAGAAAAATGGATGCACTTGCTTCCTCTGGTATGGCCTCCTGCTTTGCTCTCTATGGCTTCCTGCTCCTATATGGTTCAGATGAACACCTAAAAAGCTGATGAGTTAAAGGCGTGGTCTGATGGGGGAGGGAGGTCCTTCTGTAGGCTGTGAATATATGTTTCTCTTATTGGTTGATGAATTAGTAGCAAAGAGCCTTGCGGGGTTTGTTTTTTGTTTTTTGTTTTTGCCACTAATGCTAAGTTGAGAAGCCTCTCCTAAAGGAACCATGAGCCTCTGCTTGCCTCCAGTAAACAGAGCCCACCCAGGAAAATGCTGCCACCAAAAAGCCGTGCTTGCCTCTGTTCTTTTGTGTTTGGAAATCTATTTTTAAGCGTTTTGTCGAGTTTTAGGTGGTAATTCTTGCCTCACATTGGGGTGCCATTTGCAGAGAAGAGTTTCTGTCCCTCCTGGTCCCGCAGCCCCCCAAATAAACACACAGAGGCTTATATTAATTATAAGCAGTTTAGCTTATGGCTCAAGCTTCTTACTGGCTAGCTCTGTCTTAATGATTAACCCATGTCTATTGATCTAAGTATCTCCACATAGTCTTGGCTTACCGGCAAGTACCTGGCATCCTGCCTTCCCCAGTAGCTAAATAGCATCTCCCTGGCTGCTTCTCTCTGGCCTCCTCTCCCCAGAATTCTCCTCATCTGGTAGCCCCACCTATACTTCCTACCTGGTGACTGGTCAATCAGTATTTTATGCATCAGCCAGTAAGAGAAACGTATATTAATAGCATACGGAAGGACACCGCCGCCGCCCTCCCCCATACTGGCAGTGGTCCTCTGGGTGATGTTATTGGAGGGTGGTAGAGTGTTTAGGATGTGGACCCATGTGGGAAATATTTGGGTGATCATGACCAACCCCTTAAAGGGGGCTGTGAGACCCTGGTCTGTCAGGACACCTCTGCTTCCAGGATCACAGTGTCATTGGTACCCTGGGCTTCAAGCTCTTCTCACAGCATGCTGCTGCCAGCAGGGTCCCATCTTGACACCCCATCTTGATAGGGAACCTCTGAACCAAGTGAGCTAGATCAGCTCCGTGTCCTTGTAACTTAATGGCCTAGGGTATTCCATTGTAGTAACATGCAGCTGGCCAATTCAGCCGCCCTTGTTTGAAGCTAATGATGTTGGGCTCCTTCCGCAGGCAAATGGTTTTTGCCAGCCCTTTGCTCTCTTGGTTTTAACTCATTTATTCAGAGAAGCATTCTGTAAGACTACATTATCCTCCCATCTTCACATAGATATTCCTAAAATTTGGGTTTTAAGTGATTTAAATATTCAGTTTGAGCTCAGTGTTCTCTGCTTGGTGAGGCACAAAAGTGCTCATTTCTTCCACCTATGTTCTGCTAATCCCCCTCAGAGCTCATAAAAAAACTTTCTCTTCCTGCACATTATTATGAGGCTGTGGCATGGAGGGTAAACACGGTAATAGACCATCATGCATTCCAGAAATCATTTCCAACTCAAGAGATAAGATGATGTTTCTTTTGTCAAGTTCTCTTACAGGAGGAATTTGCTCAAATGTTGGTTCTTTCCTTCTATGTGGGCACGGGTGTTAAATGAGTTACCCTTTGTCAGGGATTTCATTTTCTGTAATAGCCATTTCAATGGATAAACCCACAGTTCCCTTCTTCTGTATTATTTTTATCACAGAGGTGGTAAAATCCACTTGAAAAACAGCCAGGTATTCGTTCATTGAATAGCACACATTTAATGGTTTCTAAGACATCTGTTTCATTTATTAGCAACCTAAAAGTCCCATAATGAAAAGACTAAGTGACTGAATGCTTTAAATGTGTAGGGAGATGATAAAGAATGACGCTCAGGAACCCAGCAAGCTGCTCTGTGCCTATTTGTGATAATATTTGCCCTGAAGAAATGGCTACAGGAAAAGCAAAACCACATGAAAGCCTTTCTTTCTTTTAGTTCCGTCCTGGAGATAGGCAACCCTGGGGTGAACAGCTGAACACACAGATCTGGGGAAATCTGTGTGCTTTTACTTTGCGGTGAATCAAGGTCATAGGAGACATTAAATAAATGCTCCCACAGTTCTGAAAACAGAGACAAGTGCCGGCTTATGACAGTAACCAAGTTTATACAACACGAAGCCCCGCAGCCCCCTTATAAAACCCGGTAGCCTTATCACTGCACTGGGGGTAAATCAAGAGTAAAACAGCCACGTTTGGTTCCTGTGACCGGGATGCCGTCGCTCCCTTCATAACAGACGTACCCTTGAAGGCTCTGGCTGTTGCACTTCCCCCTGTCCTCTCAGAACTCAGTGTCATTATCCCTTGCTTCAGACTTTCCACTCCAGGAAAATCGTAATGAATGCTCGACAAGACAGATCTCCTTACCTTTTAGCACATTTCTTTTCTGGTAGTGTGGTGCACGTCTGGTTTACAGAGCTCCAGCAGGACAGCCGGGGCCACACAGTGAAACCCTGTCTCCAAGAAGAAAAAATAAATAAATTAGACTTCTTTTCCATAGTCAAAGATATCCTTAGCCAAGGTAAAGGAACATTAAATAATTACCTGCTCTGCCTATGGTATGGAAGAGTTTGGAGCCGCATTCCTCTGGCAAGTCCCTTATGCAGGTAAGAGCCATATGTAGTATGAGCCAAACAACGAGCGTGTAGAAAACTGCTTTACATGGATACATATTTCAAAGCTAGATATAATTTATTTATAAATAGTATTTAGATACAGAAATCAATAATATTCCCCCCATATACACCAGAGAAGAAAGGTAACATGTTTATGTTTCTACCATTTGACAGAAAAACAAGGTTGGTAATAGTTAGATGTCTTAGCAGAAACACAGTTAATTGCCGTGAGCTCTGTCTTTTTAAAAACAAAATTTGATGAATAAATGATATCTAAATTTTAACACTCTCATTTTCCCCTCATGGATTCTCTCCCTGAACCAATTTGCTCCACCCGTGTGTCGTCAAGTATAGTCTAATATGGTGAAAAAAGGTTTTCTCCCGACTGGTGTTGTCTGTATTCTCCCTGGCCACACACAGTCTGGTATATTTGAATTTTGGAGGTGTCTAAACACTAGCAATACTTCGCCTTTAGAGTGTATGACAATGTAGACAACTGATAGTCTGTGGCCTGGGGGGTTTCAAGCAGGTTGGATTCTTCCTTGGGTCCCCAGCAACACCAACTCAGTGGCTTTCATGAAGTAAATGGGGCTCTAAAAGACTCAAGAGAGGCGTCTGTTGTCCACACGGGAGCAGCAGGAGGCTATCATCCTCACAGAACTTATTCATGACCTTACGATTTTCATAAAATTAAAGAAAATTAAAGAAAAAAAAACAAGTCATGCTGATTTTTTTTTCATGGGAGAGGGAAAGTCTAGTGGTAAGGACTAGTGAAGACACAGAGCTGGGTTATAGCGTAGCAGTCACAGGCTCTAGGCTCCTGGCCAAAGAGGCTGCTCTCTCCAGTCTCAAGGGTAGGTAAATCTAGGATGGGGAGCAGCTTAGAGGCCCAGAGCATGTACCGTTCCCTTTAGATGACCAAAGAATTGAGTCATCGGAAACTTATGGGTGTAGACTCAGTCATCTCTTTTCATCTTGACTTAAGAGAAGATGTCCATACTGTCCCCACCGGATCTCTGCATAGAAGGTAAACACCAACTGTGAACAACCCAGGGAACAGAGATTTTAAAAAAGACTGAGTTCTCACAAGGCATAAACGCATCCCTTTCTTGGCATAACATACACATAAGCCCTAGTGCAGGACAGGGTCTTAGAATCCACTCAGTTTGCCCTTGCGTCTGAACTCTCATCATAAAAGCCACCAAGTCTGCATTTGAACAGGGCCAATGCTCTGTTCCTTCATCTTCCTGGTGTATCTTTTAATATTTATAAAGGACACAGAACAGCTCTCAGTGACTCAAAAGGGGGATAAAGACTGCTGATTGAATTCATAGGAAGAATGCACAAATAAACAAGAGTTAGAATTCCTTTTTTTTAAAAGAACTTGGAGAATAGGTTGTGTTGCAAAGGGACTTCTGCAGTGTGAGTGCTGTCCAGCTCAGCTGCTTCCAAAGTCTCCCCGTAGATGTGAAGAGCTCCTGATGCAGGTTTGTGAAACCATAGCTTGTCTCAAAGACTAGCATGGACGTGCCCTACTGACAGGCATCTATGACACTTGGCTTTGCTTACTGGCAATGTTTTGGTGGCACGTCTACGCTAACAGGAAAGGCAGACACCAAGCATATGACAAGAGCTAGACCCAGTTAGACCCATTACTTCTTCTCCTGCTTCTTGGTCAGCTCGCACCCTCCCAGCTGGCCCCGGGTCCGGCAGTCACTGGGTCTGCCTCCCCTCCGCAGGCTCTCCTGGGACACTTGCTGCACAGCTTGTAGGATGGCATTCTGTACAATCTGCTTGCTGGCATCCTGCAGCCTCGCCTCCTCTGGCTCATTCCCAGGCTTCTCACCTAGCCAAAAGCATGAAAAGGAAGAGGAGAAGAGAAATTAATTTCAGGAGCTGTGACTCTGGAGGGGTGGGGGGAGCCCTCATAGCACGGGCTGCTGTCTCTCCCTCCGTTGCTTTGCCCTGTGATGCACCCTAGCTAACATTATCACCATCCCAGAATCCCCAACTGCTAGAGGCGGCCACAAGACGACCCTGGCTGTTGAAGTCCTCTGAGAAATCTGCTAGGAAGGGACAAGAAGTTTACAGCCCTAAGTCGATGTACGTAAGAGCAACGCTAAATGGTCTCAGTAGGGGATAGATAGATAGATAGAGATAGATAGATAGATAGATAGATAGATAGATAGATAGATAGATAGATAGACAGATGATAGATAGATAGATAGAGATAGATAGATAGATAGATAGATAGATAGATAGATAGATAGATAGACAGACAGACAGACAGATAGATAGATAGACAGACAGATAGAGATAGATAGATAGATAGATAGATAGATAGATAGATAGATGATAGATAGACAGACAGAGATAGATAGATAGACAGATAGAGATAGATAGATAGACAGACAGACAGACAGACAGATAGATAGATAGATAGACAGATAGATAGATAGACAGACAGACAGACAGATAGACAGATAGATAGATAGACAGAGATAGATAGATAGATAGAGATAGATAGATAGATAGATAGATAGATAGATAGATAGATAGATAGAGATAGATAGATAGATAGATAGATAGATAGATAGATAGATAGGCAGGCCATTTGTTTGGTTTCTTATTGGCTAGCTCTGACTTAATTATTAACCCATAACTGCTAATCTGAGTATTTCCACATGGTCTTCTCTTCCCAGTGAAAGCGTCTAGACCTCTTACTCCTCTAGTGTCCTATACCGTGACTGACTGTGCCTCTGTTTCCCAGAATCCTCCTTGACTTCTGGTCCCACCTATCCTGCTTCCCTATTGGCCAACAGTGCTTTATTTAATAAACCAATAAGACAACATATACGCAGGACTTCCCCCATCCGGAGAGCAATCAGTTTCCTTTTGAAGACTTGTGAAAGAAGCCAGGAATGGTGGTGCCCACTTGTAATCCTTCATATGGGAGGTAAGGGCAAGAGGATCTGGAGTCAAGTTCGTGCTCAACAGCGTAGTGAATCAAGAGAGAAAGAGAGAGAGAGAGAGAGAGAGAGAGAGAGAGAGCAGTCGAAGTTGAGCAGTGACCTGATACTTAAGCTAAATTACAATTTCTTCCGTCAAAGTTGGTGTGTGCCACAGTCTACAGGACCCCCCCCCCACTGCCTCAATGGCCAAAAAGTTGATTTAACCAACGCTTACTGTGAACTAATCTTTCACTGTCCTCATTACCACTTTGTCCTGGGTCATGAATAGTCACTCTCAGAGGAGATAAGAAACAACAAAGACAGTTATAAGGAAGCCACAAAGGAAGGGAGGAAAGTGACCAAGAGCCCTTAAGAGGCAATGGAAGAAAAAGAAATACATGTACAACATCCAGGCACATGCTTGTGTACCAGGTGTTTGTTGGGAACATCCTCTCCCTTCCCTCTAAGCTACAAGCCTTAGCATTCGGGCATCTGCACCGGCCTGCCCTTGGGGTTCCGACGGGATGCGCCCTCAGCTGCAACCGCTAAGAGCACCCCCTGTGCACATTCACTACGTTCCCCTCTAAAAAAGGGCCCTGCCCGCCTCCCATCCTTTTCTCTCCCTCTCTTTCTGTTCCCCGCCTCTCTTTCCCCCTCTTTCCTTTCTCCTCTCTCCTGCTGCTCCTGTCTCCAGAGGCTGGTCTCCCCACTTCTCTTTTCCCTTTTTATGATCTCTTTCCCTAATTAAAAAAAAAAGCAAACCCTCTGCTTGAACCCTGTCCAATGGCGTCTTTCTCTTGCACGCCGCTTTTCTTAAATTACAACAGTAAGGTAAGGGATGGGGCAGTGACTGCAGGAACGTGAGCGTCATCGATGACTTCTAAGATGAACCTCATAGCTTCAGCCATTTCATCATCCAGGTTATCCTCTGCCAAGATAGAGTCAGCTCTTCACCCGCTGCTACCAGCCAACAGCCTCTCCCATTCCTCTATGCTCCTCCCCAATTCCATGGTGCTCACTTACTCAAGTCTCTGCTCATCTGTGACTTGTCTTGTTTCATGATTTTACAGGCTTCTCACAGGTACCCCAGCTACTTGGCCCTTACCATATATCTTCAGCTGAAATTCTTTGGACAGAGTCTATTAGACCCAACACACCACCACCATCCTTAGAAAGTTGCCCCCTGGTGCTAGCTGCATCCTGGGTCTACTGTTATCACTGAACATCTGCTTCTCATTCTATTCCATTCATTGGTGGCTGGGGGAGGGGGTCAAATCTATAGGTAAGAAAACAGCTTCTTGAAAGATAAAATCACTGGGGCCCTTGCGGTGTGGTCAGAACATGTGTTCTCTGCCCAACATAGTACTCATTTGCAGCCAAGTATTCATTTGCAGGAATGTAGCATTGGAGAAAATCCTGGTGGAGACCCAATTTCCCACATGAGTATAGAGTGAGGATGTGTACTACAACCCGACAGAAGGCAGAGGCAGTCACAGAAATGTTTGGAGTCTCGCCACTTACTTACAGACATTTAACTCTCTGTAATGTAATAAGTCACCTACACATTTTAGGTGGCCGACTGCCTGGTTTTTAATGACGCAAATGTCCCCTAGGCTAGCTAGCATTTTCAATACCATTTTCCTATCCCACAAAAGATGACCAATTGATTTAATTAGCTTTAAAGTCTAAACGCCCAATGCAAAGTCAAGAATGTGAGACAGTTAAGTTTGTCTTCAGTGTCTTCCTGTGGAGAACTGTGAATCCTTCCTCCTGCCTGAGCTCCCAGAATGCCTTGCTTTCCAGTCTGTAGATGTCCAGCACTGCAGAAGCCAGCAGGAGCTCTGGTACTCCCTGCTACCCTGGTCAGTGCCTATCTCACTCCCCCCCCCCCCAAGCGCTGGTGTTTAGAATGGATTGCAGACTTCCTAGAGGCCCTGATGATTGCACGTTGCCCCTAACCTAGCCAGGTCATGCCAGGCAGACAGGCTATAGACTGGCACCAGGGGCTGGGTGCCACAGTCCAGGAACTGGCACTTGGAATTTCTCCCATTGAATGTGGTCAAATGTTCTCGACTCTGAGAGGTCAAATGCTGTTGGTCATCCCAGAGTTCACCTTGATGAAGGTGAACCTAGGTATCTTGAGCTCTCTTTAACTCTGCCGTCTGGTGCTATTTTTCTGACCACCCCCTCCCTTCCTCCTTCCCTCTTTCCTTCCCTCCCTCCCTCCTTCCCTCCTCTCTCTCTCTCTCTTTCTCTCTCACACACACAGACACACAGACACACAGACACACAGACACACACACACAGACACACACACACACACACACACGAATTAATAAAAAGAACTGTGCAGTTAATAAACTTGCTGGCCTGGGTCATCTGCCCTTGCTGCCCTCCAGATCCCAGCTTTTAACACTTTCTTTTCATTATCTCTTTATTTCTTTTTTGTTTTTTGTTTTTTGAGACAGGGTTTCTCTGTATTGTTTTGGAGGCTGTCCTGGAACTTGTTCTGTAGACCAGGCTGGCCTCAAACTCACAGAGATCCTCCTGCCTCTGTCTCCGAAGTGCTGAGATTAAAGGCGTGCACCGCCACGGCAGCCATCGCCACCACCACCACCTGGCTATCTCTTTCTTTTTCATCCCCAGTTCCCTCACGCTGGGACCCTGTCAAGAACCACAGCTGGTCCTGATCAGCTAATAGTTGGTATTCATTTTTTATGGACAGATGTTAAAATTATGCGTCTAACAACTATAGGAAGATACAAACTTGCAAGCTGTTTACCTCTGTTAAGTTCACTCTATTGTATCCTACTTCGGTGGGGGCTGACAGGGATCAAGTTGCCATTCAGTTTAAAGACAGAATCTTGGTGGTGACTTCACCTGCATCACACAAAGAGAGTGGCAGAGGTTGGGTTGTATCATCGCCAGCGCCTCTAGCTCCCATCACTCTCTGATGGGTCACCACATCTGCCAGGGGTAAATGTCCTCATCGGGACAGCAAAGGACCCACCGCTTCTGTCCCTACAGGCTCTTTAGTATACCATGTTGCCAGGGGCAACCAGCCAGGCATTTTTTATCCTCCCTTCCCTCGATTGACATTATAAGGACAGTGTTGTCATTCATCAATGACCAGACTATGAGACACAGAGAAGGAAGGAGAACTAATTCCGGTCCCTTTAATAATGTAATGGCAGTCTTTTCTTGGCTCTGTGCACACAGGAATTTTCCATGAAGGACCAGATGTTAAGCCTCGCCCATCTGTGCCAATTGCTAATGAAGCCGTGCTGGCTGCCCCACTTTGGAACTGAAAATGGTAACGCTCCACAACCTGGTTTTCCGGCTTGATGCTAGCCTCACCAATACACACACACACACACACACACACACACACACACACACACACACACACACCATAACCAAGTCAGAAGGGACTGTTTAGAATTGCCAAATAATAGTTTTGATGAGATAGTGTCATCAGCAAGTGAAGGACCCTACTCCCTTCTGGTTATATGTAAGGAGTATCCTGCTTTCACGGCTCCCATATCTACCAAATCAAGTATGGGGCAGCAAGAAGGCTGTGGCCAGCAGTGGCCAGCAATATTATTTCAGGGCATGGCTACTCTCATAAACTGTATGGAGTTCATTGTTACAATTTCCTACAGAAAACAAACAAGAAGAACCACAAAGACTTTTTAAATAATGTATGCTTTGGTAGTTTCACCCTCGCTTTTAATGCGTTCTGGTTCCATTGGCCGACTGCCCTCTTTCCTCCTCCTCCAAACCACACTAGGTCCTCTCCCCCCACCAAGTCGCCACCCTTCATTTCTGTCTTTTTTTGGGGGTGGGTGGGCGGGGTGTATCTTTTACTTTGCTATCAACTGGGCTTAACCAGTGT